GGCCTGCCTTTTACTTGTCTTGTCTTAGATATATTTTTATTATGACAAAATAGCTTTCATGTCAAAATGCCTAAGTATCGTAGTAATATACATATAATAAATACTTATATCTAGAGTGAACCTTGACATATATACGATATCATCTCATGATTTATGAATTTTTTAAAAGTGTTGGCTGATACCCAGTCATAGGAATGCAAAAGATATTTATCACCAAGCATATATAAGAATGAAAAGGACCAAAAAAAAAAAAGAAAAGATGTAAAATGAACGAGAATATTCAGAGAAGTAACCAAACAAGTCTCAAGTCTTATTTCCTCAAAGATAATTTCCTTCCCTCTACCCTAATGCTTAACACACCGTATCACTGTTTACTTGAATACCGCACCCCCCTCCCTGCCCCACACTGCCGGCTCCACCAGGACACTGCATGTTGTTTTCTCGGTGCCTAAAATAGGGCCTGGCACAAAGTAGGAGTTCAGTATGATCTGCTAAATCAGTATGATCTGCTAAATGGATCCAAGCACAGACCAGCACTTAGTTCAAACAAGTATTGGATGAAGAAAGAGGTTTCTTTAAATTTCTGCTGCTATGGATTTGGTAGAAAGAATATGAAAATACAGGTTTTAGAAAAGATACTATAATTGTAGTTAAAAGAGAGACTGTTAGGCATGAATCAATGCTATTGTATTAATACTGTAACGATAAAATAATTCAAAGAAAATATCATTGGGCAGGGGGCAGAGAGCTACATCTAATTATCTCATCATAAAAAGGTCTGAAGATACTTTGGAAATTTTTCATATATCATTTAGACAGTGGTGGGACTAGCGATTTGTCCTTCATTTAAATATGCAGTGGTTGCCCTGGCTGGAATAGCTCAGGTGACTGAAGCATCATACTCCATATCAAAATTGGGGGGTTCGATTTCCGGTCAGGGCACACACCTAGCTGCCACTTCAATCCCAGGTCAGGGCACATATGGGAGGCAGCTAATCAATGTTTCTCTCTGTCTCTCCCTTCCTCTCTAGTGTCAATAAACATTTTTTTAAATAAATAAATATGCAGCTGTTGGAATACTTCAAAAATCATGAAAAATATATAAGTAACTGAGGTGTATCTTGTTTTCATTTATCATAGTTTATTTTACCAAGAAGTCTGTGGCAATATGTAAAGTTGAAATGCTCTCAGAAGAAAATTACCAATACCCTCTTACTTTTTTATTTGCTCTTTAGTATTTATGAAGAAAATTCTACTTTAGAAACTATTTTCTTTTCTTCCAATACAAAAGAACAAAAGATACTGGCAAAAGCAACAGTCTTACTTTGATGCTAGTATAAAGAAACTCTTGGGTTTTTGTAGAGGCTCACAAGTCACCCTGGCATGAAAGTACTATGCATTAACAATAAAAGCTGTTTAATGTACTTCTGAATTTTATCACTGTTTCAAAAAGAGAGAAGAACAAATGTTATAAGCCACGAATTTCTTATGGTTAAGCTTCTCAAAAGACTTTCAGTGCAAGTAGAATATTCATACTGATTAGCAGAGGTAAGTCATTCTGACAGGGTTCCCACTCACCTTCCTGGCTTGCCCCTCTGTGTAGATATAAAATTACAAATATTATACAAACTCATCTCAGGAATATTTCTGATAATCTATTGAGTACTTACATCATAATTATATGAAGCAAATAATTATTGCAACACACAAATTTTCCATTGAAATGTCACAGTAAATCAGCCAACAAGCAGGTAAATCATTTAGTATAATTAACAACATTTACACTGTATAGTTATAAAAGCATGAATGACTGCTTTCATAAGTGCATTCAAGTTATAGTGAGATCAAGGAAGCCTTCAAAATTTAACAAATAACTCATTGTATAAACTATGGTCTGAAAAGTGCAGAGCAATTAGAATATATTGTGAAAAATTTCATACCATGAAGGACAACCGTGTTTAATGTAACATTGGTTTAGAAATAAACCTACTGCCCTCGCTGGTATAGCCTAGTGGATTGAGCACCGGCCTGTGAACCAAAGGTTCGCCAGTTCCATTCCCAGTCAGGGCACATGCCTGGGTTGCAGTCCAGGTCCCCAGTGGGGGTGTGTGAGAGGCAACCACACATTGGTGTTTCTCTGCCTTTTTTTCTTCCCTAACTTCCCTGTTCTCTTCAAATAAATAAATAAACTCTTTTTAAAGAAAACTACTTATTTTTCTTCTTTGTTATTCCATTTTTGCTTTCCTCAATTCCTTGGGAAAAGAAATTAAAGTTGAGGAAGTAAAAGAGACATTTTGAATGTCACTATGCATCTGTGTCTTTGCTGTACTTCCTGCTGTAATAAGTATCTCAAGAGCAGGGTCCATGTTTTTATGACGCCAACTATTAGGCTCCTGTCTGAATGGATTCAATACAGGTTCATCCAAGATAATGAAAAACAAATGACATAAATTACATTTTCTGTGTTTATTGTTCATTAGTGGGTAGTCTAAATAGTTATAGTATGCATAAATATATTATGATACAGAAACTTGGTAGCTTTGACGTCTAAGTTATGGCCCTCACCTAAAGTGAAATAAATATTTTCATCACCTTGAGGGGAAGGGCGAACTGTGACAATTTGTTCCTTGATGGTTCTGTTCTGAATACTTGAGAATGGGACAGAGGGTTAATATGTTCTTATATAAGATTTTTCTCTGTTCCCTTTGACGATTGAAGGCAGGTGAAATCTTTTCATGAATCTGAAGAATACTCAACGTGCAGATGCCATCTTGACTGAAACATATGGAATACGTACTTGGAGAAAAGCCAAATGGAGACCTGCTTGAGTAATCTAAACACCCAAGCTGAGAGGGGTTAATACATAAAGATCAGCTTTGTACTTTGAAGTTTTCTGGACTTCATTTTGCCTAATTAAGACAAGACTTCATAATCAAACCACTGTACAAACATGTACCTAAAAGTATAGGTTTGTTTCCAATTTCAGAAAGAATTCTGAACAGATTCCAAAGAATCAGCTCCACATGGGACAAAATCTCTGATAAGACCTGCCTTTCTCATCGCTAAAATGCAAATGCCTGCTTTCCATCTTAGTTTCTGCCACGTGACTAAGATTAGCATCACCTATCAAAGTCTCAAGTGTGGTAATAAAACACAAAGATTCTGATAGTAGCATACCATCTGAGTCTAAAACAGTGGCAACTTGAGGCCATAAAACATATATCCAAAAATATTCTTAAAAGTATTCATAGGAATCAAACAAATCTGCTTCCAGATCAGAATGGAAGCAGGCAGAAAGTAGGATTCCCAATCTTTCCTTCCAGGTAGGTTTTTTTCTCACTAGACACCAGACAATTTTTCATGAATACCAGCCAGTTTTAAGTGGTGCTAAGAGACCACAAAACAAACTTAACTCTACCCTAATCTAGCAAACATACACAGAAGCGCATTCGAGTCAACGAGTATGATGCCATTACACAAGAAGGAAGTCGGTTGTCCTATGATCAGACTGATTTGGAAATGCAGAGAAATGCTAAAGCCATAAAATAGGCACCAGTGTGATGATAGATAAGGTGCCTGAAAGACACTGAAATACAGTCTGTACGAGACTGAAAGTTGGCAGGGGCGCCAGTTACCACCGCCTGCAATCTTCCCCCACACCCATCCACACACGTCATCCTCGAAAGCATCAGAGGGCTGGGCTGGAAGAAGTTCTGTTCAGTAACCTGACCTTCAGCTCATGTTCCCTCCATGGCTCTGCCTTGTAAGGTGGATGCCAAAGGGAGGAGAAAAACTCTCCGCCCACCTGCAATCAGGTAAGCAGGTAATAATGACACCCATCTCCTACTACTATTAGAAAGATGATTAGACCTTTGCCCAGAGAAGTTTTGCTTTGTTTACAATACAAGAAAACACTGTGATACTAACCCAATTTTCAGCTATCTATCATTTCTCAATATAATACCTCTATATGATACTTGTAGGTGATATAGTAACAAAGGCAAGTGGATAGAATCTTAATATTCAGGACCTTAACATTTTCCAGGAATGAGATTTGGTTTTATAAGCCAACCCTAGCACAGAGTAGCAGCAAACTGTGCAGACCAGTTTTGCTCACAAATTCACTGCAAGTGCTTTACCAGCCCGCATGCTATTGTTAGGTTGTGATCGCTGTTTCCTTGTGGTCGCCCCAGCCGGAGCGTGCGTAAGGATGTGGTGTGGTAACAGGCAGTCGCTCTCCGATTCAGCCACAACAAGGCTGCCAGAGAGAAATTACCACAAGGTTCTCAGAAACTGTTTTAAACACTGGAACAAAGTGGGACAGGCTGGAAAATAACTATAACATGGAAACATACAAGTTGTTGAAAAATCCCTCGCTGGCTAACCTTGTCCTCGCTGCCTGCATCTGTGCAAACTTCTGAGGTGTCCAACCATGACATTCAACCCTGCCCTGAGCCTCTTCTGCAAGCGTGGAAAATGAGGCTGGGCACATGTGTGCCTGTGTGCCCTTAAGCATTAAAAGAGGTGCTTGGCTCTGGCCAGATGGCTCAGTTGGTTGGAGCATCGTCCATACGCCAAAAGGTTGCTGCTCTAATCCCCAGTCAGGGCGCAGACCTAGGTTGTGGGGTCCGTCCCTGGTTGGCCCACATATGGGAGACAGCTGATCGCTGTTTTTACCTTTCTCTTCTTCTCTTTCTGTCTCTCTCTTCCTTCCTCTCTCTCTAAAATCAATAAACATATACTGAGGTGAGGATTTAATAAAAGGTGCTCAGGCATAAAAGACTTTGCTAATTTATAATGTTAAAACTGCTACAAATGTCCCATGAAAGTAATGATGGTGAAAACCCCGATGCTGGGATGGCGTCCTTGACCCCTGATGGCAATTTCCTTTTGACAACGACAGGTACCAACGTTCGCCCTTGAATGCCCAGATCAGTGAAAAGGACCCCGATTTCCACAGTGGTGGTTATGACATTTCGACTTGGTTGTGGGGGGCTTACTTTGTTCATGTGGATCTGTTGCTGGTATTGCTTCTGCTTCTCCAAGAATTGCTGGTGTTGCTGTTGAATGACCAGCTGAGCCAATGTGCTCTGAGGCAAAGGTGCAGACTGGGTTCGATTCAGGGGCCTGTGACGGGGTAATTTGTGGGTACCTCTAATGCCAGGTGAGATCCTCTCTTTTGTTGCCAAAGGAGACTGAGGATGTAAGGGAACCCCACCTGAAAAAAGGAAAAATATGTGTCCATGTACACACACACACACACAATTTTGTTTAAGAAAAGACAAGAAGCCACAGAAAACAGATGCAGGGGATACAGTTTATGAAGAGGAGTGACTCCTCCAGACAGATGTCAGAAGGAGGCTAGGTTGGATGGGGTAAGGCAGAAGTCCTAAAGCACTAGACAGGCACGCATCTGACCAGTGAAGGACTCACCATTTGTCCACCCTAGCATGTGAAGGTTAAATAAGGTGAGATTTTTTTTCATAGATCTAGGGAAAAAACTGAAGACAATAGCCTTTCCCACAGTACCCAGTAATCAGGGAGACATTGGGGAAGGGTAAATCTCTACCAGTGCCTTGAGTTAAAAAGATATCACATTGGATTGCTGACAAAAGCGCCCAAATGAGCTAGAAATGGTGCCCTTATTAATTACCAGCCACAAGGAGCTTTTGCTGTCGCATTTGTTCTTTCAGTAATAAATGCTGCAGGAGAGCCTGGTGGCTGCTGTTGGGCTTTCCGTCTAAGGCGACGTGCGGGTGGCTGGAAGACGGCGGGAGGGCCCCCCCGAACTGCCCGGGCAGTGGGACGCCTTGCCTGAGCGGCTGGGTCTCGCACTTCTGTTTCTCTTTGAGTGAATTTGAAGCCTGTGTTGAAAAATAATAAAGAGGTGAATCCCCTTTCATCTATGTGAGTCATTAGGTCTGTATATCCTTAGATGAGTTTTTTATCCCATATCCACTCCACTCTCCCCTTAAAAAAGGCCCATCTTAGCCTATGCCCGAGTCAGGCAATGGGTAACGGCAAGACTTTCAATCTAACTGAGTTCACGAAGAAGACATAAAAGTAGAGGTGAAGCATTGGAGACAATTTAGTATTGGGTGTCACTGTACTAAAAAAGATCTTTTAACATTAACAATGATGCTAATTTCAGGCTTAACAACTAGAAAATGTATTTCTTATTTTATCATACCGAGTAAGTAAAAGGTATATTGGAAAAGTAAAATGTATTCAAATTGCCAAAAACAAAAGACACATCAGAGCAATCAACAAGCTGGAGACGAAATGGCCTGTCATTCTGGGGTCTCCGGCACAAGGAATAACTCGTCCCTTCTCTCTGCATCCTCTACTCAGTTCAGAGAGCTGTGTTTCCAATATTTAGTTTTTACAATAAAATTCTTCAGATAGCTCATTGAGAGGCTGCACAAAACATGCAGGAATTTCATTTAAACATGTATTTTATATTAATTCGTACCAGATCCCCAAATCTCTAAATATTGAAAATGACACTTCAGATACTTTTGTTTAATAAAGTAAACTACAAGTGGAATTATATCAAATAAAAATGCTATTAAGAACTTGAAATGTATGATAACAGTAATAAAGCAATAATAATTACACCATCAATTGTAATAATGAATTATCCTATTCAAAGGGTTTAATGAATGGTGGTCATTTTAGTATTACAAAAGCAGAAGTCTAATACCTCAAAATTATGTGGCATGTTTCTTTTCAAAACTCATGTTTCATCTTTCAAAATTGCTGTGCACGAGGGAAGCAAAGCAATTTTCAGTGATGGAGAAATTAAAGGACAAAGAGGTAAATGGTTTGTCTTAGTCACACAGCAAGTCAGTGCAATATTTCATCTAGAAGTGATGCCTTCTCTTGGCCTCTATTCCTTAAAATTTCCCACTACTCAGTGGGGAAATGGAATATTGGAGGTCCCTTTGCCAAAGCAATGCTAAGCTTGAAAAATTAATTGTGATGGCCTCATCCACACCAAAATGGAAGCAACGAAAAATGAAACTTCAATCCAAACCACATTGGTTTATTCATCCAATGGCACCAAATTGTATTACCATCAAAACATTAAATGGTCTGGCTTTAGTGCTTGGTTCTTTGAGAGAAAAATTCTCCCTGACCACATTAAAAGTGGTGTATGTTTGTGTTAGCTGGTAGGGGGGACTGAGGGCTTGCAAAAGGGAGTGAGTATAAAATGCCTATTCATGTGTCATTAGAAGTTTTCCTGTCAGTATCTGCTTATCATCGGAAGAGATAGGGAAAAACAGGAATAGAAGGGAAATAGTTTCTAATAAGTGAAGATTTGAAAATGTCGTCCATGAAATGTTTAGGTTTAGTTTCACCCTTAACTCCTTTTTAATTTCTGCTAGAATCCACTGTTTACAAAGGCTTCATGTGGAATTTCAAGGACGGGGTGGAATCTGGTATTTGTAAACCTTTCTTCTTCAATCCCCAGCTATAGAACGGCTTCCAAATTTTGCTTTCTCCTCACTGGTAGAAGATTATTGTATCGCATAAAACAACATTCCACTCTATTAAAAACACCAAATATATGATACCTCTTGGACTTGTTTTATAATATATATTGAACCCAAATATCAAAATATATCATTGAAGAATGTCACTTTAGGTGTGCTCACATATAAATTAGTATACCCTATACAGATAGTACATTCTGAAATAACTTAGTCAAAAGATGGTTCACTTTTTATAATTTCCTGATCTGGGAATATTGTAAAAAAAAAATCTGAGTTTGACAAGTCACTCCCAGTGAAAAGTTCACTTCTAAACACAGGCAAAATGCATGCCCAGGGGACCACATATTTCTCTTCACATCTAACGTATCACATGACCTTTACATAAGTGCAATTAATTTAATTTTCACACACTTCATAGCCAAATTATTCTAGGTGAAGCTTACAGATCTTTTACAATGACAAAAATATTTTTAGGGAATATGTATTAAATAATTATTGCTGTCTTCTGCTAGTCGGACAATTACCTCCAGAAGATCCTATTTCAGTTGTCAGGACTTTTAAAGTAATTTCTTCACTCGAGCCTCCTGGGAAGAGTTTAAGATTGCTCTTAAAGAGGTTTTCCAGATATGTGCTCTCCAGTATGATTGAGTCAGTAACTTAAAATCTCAAAACAAATCCATTCACAAAATGAATTCTGTAAACACGTGCTGTCAGGCATTAGATAGAAGCTGCGCCTCTCAGCACTTGCCTGGGTGGAGTCCCAGGTCTGCTACCTACTAGCTCTGGGATCTTGGGCTTTGAAACAGCACTGGTCTCAGCTTCTTTTGTAAAACTGTGGCTCGTAATCCCTGTTTCATGGGATGGTCATGTGGAGCTAATAAAATATCTGGAGGGTACTTTCTTTTTTAAAAGCTCTGAAGCATTTACAAATGTTACTTATTATTTTTATATATTATTATAGGAACCAGCCTAAGTCTTTAATTTGAAATTAAACTGAACATCTTTGAACAACTCCGTAAAGAGCCAAGGAGACTCTCCCCAGTTTCCGTGAAGTCTGTACACATCAGAAATGAGCACTCCCCGGTGGAAACGTCACTCGGGCTGCTGCAGGCTGCTGCTGCTGAGGGGCGACTTACGCTGAGCGGGGTGGGCACTGCCGGCAGCCCCAGGGTGATGTTGGGTAGAGAGGGAGAGGTATACAGACTCAGCAAATTCATGGAGTCTTCGTGAATTAGAATGCGTTGCTGTGAAACCATGTGCTGTAAAAAAAGAGAAAAAGAAAAAAAAACAATGAAAGGGGAGTTTCAAGAGATTGCCATACACAAGTTTTACTGTGAAATATTCAGATTTCAGACAATAGTGTTTATATTTTCATATTCAGTCAAACTAATTTTAAATAGTTTATTTTATAATTTCTGTATCCAGGTGTTATATGTAAACATTAAATTGACATTTCCTTCCACAGATACAATTATAAAATCTGAAAAAAGGACTTCCACGTTCCTTTTGCCAAATTCTATTTTATAATTCTAGCTTTATGGACCCCAAATCAATGTGTTTGGCATCAGTTGGTAACGCACAACAACAAAGTTGAGTAATTCTTATGAATATATATACTTTGTATTATTGATGATTTTATAGTCATCACTCATATATATATATGTATAAATATATAGTAATGAATATATATATTTATTACTCAATGAATATATGGGTTAAATATGATTGTACTGATGGGAAAACTCAACAAGGAAATCTTAGGTTAAATGTCACAATATCAGACTTCCATAATAACTGACCATATGTTTTACTTTAAAATTTGTGAGTAGACAACTCTGGGTGGTGCTTTTGGATCGCTCACACCTAGAGACCAAAGTAAATGTTAAAGTGTTACGCGTGCCCGGTGCCACAACAGCTTTCATTTTCGCTGCACACCCAGAGTGGTTTGGCATCACGGTCCTTCTTACAACAAATACCTTTTTAAAAAATACAATACTCGGAGTGACGTTTTCCTACATGTGGCCTAATATGGTTGCTTGAATTACATTTTCTGTTTAATTCTTGCTTCCCTCCCAGAACTCCTATACAAAAAGAGTTACAAAGGTCTTATTAGACTAAGGAACTCTGGCCTGATATGGTCCCCAAGGGAACAACATCCCTGAAAAAGAATACTCCATGTAACAGTATGACACAGTGACTGCTTTCTTCCCAAACAAAAAGCATATGGGACTCCAATAATAGACCACCTCCAAGAGGGATACTGCACACACGGGCCTTGACTAAAGTAAATATAATAACTTGTCAAGCATGTTTGGGGGAGCTGTAGATTTTCCCCTGGACAAACCTGGGATATCAATTAACTGGGAGGAAAATCATGTGCTAATACAATGCAACCTCAGAATGTCACTGAAGAGTGATGCACCAGCAAAACACAGGATGTTATTCCAAAACATCCCCTCAATCATGCGTTTGTTTGGAGATGAGTCATATAGCCTTAAGATAATAAAGGGAGAAGGTTAAATGTGGATTTTTCTCATTACAACTTGAAATTCCAAGCTCGTTCAGATTTTGTTTTTTTCTAAAAAAAAAAGTCAGATATTTGTGCATGAAAGTCAAACCTTTAACATGATGTTGACTTTATATGTAAGTTTTTATAAAGTTGTCCATAACACTAGAGCGTGAAGATTGTTGAAAATAATTTCATCATTGCAATGCATGAGACTGCAATTTCATTTTACTGTTATCAGAAATGGTTCCATATTTGCTCTAATTAAAAAGATAAGCTACTACTTTGCTTACACTAATATTCTTTTAACCTAAATTTTAAATATAAAATATATACATGAAAAACAGAAAGAATGTATGAGGAATTGAAAATATTAACTAGCTCACTGACAACAAGTGGTCCTTTATAATAAAGGGATTCTTTCATTCATTTATGTATGTTCATAGAAGAGACATAAATGTGAAAAAATAACACTGTAAAATGATGTCTAGCATTCACTGCAGGGTGCATCTGCCGCTCACAGCACTGAGACTTGAGAAGCACTACGGGCATGATGACAAAAGATATCACAGACCTCACAGAAGAGGTGACTTTTGTTTCCTCTTTGTTCTGTGATATCCTTCTATGCCCTCGCAGGATGCAAACGTGCACTAAAGTGAGAGAGAGGTTTTTTTTTCTCAGATGGATGAAAGGCAGTGGCACACTGGCTACTCACACATACTGAGCCAAGGGAAAGAATTTGGAAATACTCTCACTGTGGGATTTCAGACCCCTGTAGTTTCATATCAGCATTGAGCGTCTCCATTTCCTATGGCAGTGTATGGGTTCTCAGCACCTGGCATGTATGTGCCAAGCCCTGTGCCGGGGATTTTGGGGGGCTAACCTATTTTCCACAGGCACTTTCCAGCTACCACCATGCTCCTGTGATGGATGAAGAACCTGAGTGATTTCCCTGGGTCTGGTTCCCAATGGGATCAGCAATAAAACTTTACAATTGATCAGGGCTACATGCTTTGCTGTCAGGTTCTGCTGCAGAAGCTTACACGCCACTCTGCACCATTACTGAAAGATAAGAAATCATTTTAAAAGTATGGGGAAGAGGGAAACTTTAGAGAAGAAAAGGAAGCAAAATCAGGCCCTATGGCTTATGGAAAAGAATACAAGTTTCCAGCTGACCTGGGCATAAGAAGAGAGCTAAAGACCTGGCGACCTCATAAACATGAGTATCTTTAAGTCACGGAGTCAACTTCTAAGAAAGCAAGGACGGCCCTGAGTCTCCCAAGTTCACTAAGTATAGTTGGCTCTTCCCAGTTCTTCCCAAAAGAACTGTGAACTGCAGGGACTAGGATGTTATGTAGTTTATTTTCTCTGATTGCAGATAAGAAAACAGGCAGCACTCGTGTAGACCTGCAGTGGCTAGAATGTGAGCAGTCTGTCAGCTCCCTGTCGATGTTCCCTAATAAGAAACCTCGACCTGCATTCCACACAGCTAGAAGAATGGAGACACACTTGAATGCCAGAAAATCTGGTGGTGAGGTACTATTTCACTCAAACAATGAAGGATCTTGACCAGTATCCTTACGAGCCTGGATGGTTACCCCACCTTAGCATTGTGGTGAGCTCACATTTATTTTCAGACAACACCAGGATTCTTCCAGGAAGCACTTTTGTAACTGAGCCAGCCCTTAAATCAGTGCTGTGCTAAGATGGCAATGTTTCACATCTTAGAATGTAAAGAAGATGGTTTAAATCTAAAAAAATTTTCAGAACCACAAACTATTGCTATAGTTAGATAAAATGAAAAAGTTAAATAGATAAATAGATAACACTTCACATTCACAAAACAATGAATGAATAACAAGTTAGATCAACCTTGTGGTATTACATGGTGGGCATCGAAAGATGTCCTATACCCCCACCTAAGTTCACGTGCTAGTCAGGTACACGGAGCAGCAGAGAACTAATTCTCAATAGTAATCATTACTATAGTTAGAGTAGGGTTAAAAACTTAAATGGCACAGAGCAGGGTGTCAATTTTAAACAGACTTTGAAGGGTAACTAGCATTTCATCAGAAGGAGCATGATCTTGAGAAGAGGGATACGACTGAGCCAGGTGTTGGGGCAGGCAAGGTCTCCTCACATTTTAATCGTGATCTTTAAAATGTCATTACTTTTCTCACCACAGTAATTGGAAGCCTATCTTATAGACAATATCTGCAATTCATGTCAATAAAATACACAACACTGAAAAATAGGGCTCTCAATAGAGCTATTTCTTTTGCCAGTGAAATTAACAAGCTATTGGTTTGAAACAAAAGGTTCAAAATCTCTTACAAAATGGACACTGGCAAAAAAAAAAGGGGGGAAAGAAAAAGAAAGCAAAATGTATGATGTCAGCATTTACAGGGATTTAGAAAGTTGAAAGCCATCACACACTGCTGGTGGGAGAGTGGACTGGTACGGCAACCCTGGTGAACAACCCAGCACTATAAACCAAAATAATGACACCACACACCATGACCGAGCCATTCTTCCCTGGGGTAACACATCTTCAAGGAGTCCTCTCACAAAAGCTGTAGGGTGATGTTGGTGGGGATACGCTAAAGCACATTTTGGTGGTGGGTGAGAATTGGAGGCCACAGGATCATCTGACTGGAAAATGGGTAGGAGTGCCCACCATGGGTTTTTACGGTGACTAAAACCAAACTATTAGGTACATGCATCCATAATGACATGCTGGACCTAAAAACACATGGTTGGTGATAAAAAATAAGAAGTAGAATAAGATTGATAACACCTTGCCATTGATATCCACTAAAATTCATGGACACAGAGCAAAAAAATACACATGATGTAAGAACCCATGCACACAAAAATATAGGAGAGAGTGACTGCTTTCAGGCACAAGGAAAATTGAAGTGGGTGCGGCAGGATAGCTAGATTGGGGTACCAGCCCACCTCCCTCCCCTTCTGTAGGGAAACAGGCTTGCAAGGAAAAATGTAGAGGCAAACAAGGATCAATTCTATCCAGCTGGGCCAGGTACCCTGACCCAAAGTGGCCAAGAGCCAATGATAATGCCATATGATTTCATTGGGTTTGTAGATAGAGCAGTACCCAGCATGCACCAATGCCATGACAGTTCCAGAAAGGACAGAAACTCCCCTTCCGTGCCCCTCCCCCCTCCTTTCATGTCCCTCACCATTAACCCTAAATACTAACTCTAGCACCTGGACCCCTTTGCAGGACTCACTCGAACTCACCTGTACCCTCTGAGTGTGTACTTTCACTTTAATTAGACCTCTGTGCTTTACTGAATCTTTCTGGCTTGCTACTGAATTCTTTCTTGCGCAGAGACAAGAACCTGGGCAGAAGCCTTCCTCTGGCTTCCCTGTGAGCCTCTGCCATCATGGCTCACAGGGAAAGCCATGGCTCACATGGCTCACGGGGATAAAAGAGAAAGGAAGGGAGAGGGAGGAAGGACACCTATCTCTCTCAAGAAGACAAGCCCACAGATGACCCTTGACAATACTAGCTATGTGAATAATCATCTTTTTAAGAAGCTCATAGAAAAAGTGGGTGTAGAACTTTCAATTTATTGCATGTTCAAAATTATTTACAGTATGTATGAGCACCAGATAAAAATGTGAGTATCTGCAGTTTGGGTGAGAGGCAGTCAGGACTAGTGAAAAGAAGTGTGGGCTGTTTGCCCTGGAGCTCTACCACTCCCTGGCTTTCAGCTCTGGGCAGCTGCT